CCAGCCGAGCCCGACGCTCTCACCACAGGAGCTGGCGCCGCCGCTGAGGAGCTATCGCGACAGGCGGGGGAGGCGAACGCCCGCCGCCGTTTTCTGGCGCCCCGGACCCTCGGGCGCTGCGCGAGAGCGGCGCGAAGCGGAAGTGGGGCGGGGGGAGTGGGTCCGGGGTTGTTCTGACGACGGGGGTCGGGACTCAAGGGAGGCAGCGGCGTCGGCCGATGGCTCCGCGGAAGCTGACCGGGCCCGGTCCAAGATGGCGGCGGCGGAGGCGGCCTCCCTCCTCTCTTCTCGTCTCTGGCGCCGACCCGCCCCCGACCCCCGAATGTAGGCCCATCATTGCTCCTGCCGCACGTCGCTCTTGGCCGCAGGACGCGCCTTATTGGTTTTGGGCGGGGATGTGGCCGACCCTCTCTCGTGGATTGGGTGAGAGCTACAAGGCGCGGCGTTCGATTGGCCTCTCGTGCAGCTGGCTAGGATTGGTTCAGATTTTCTTCCCGCTCCGCCTCCTCCTCCCGCCTCAGGGCACAACACGCCAGCGCGAGGACCCATATGTCAATCAAGAGGGCTGTGTGATGCTGATTGGGTGTACCCGCCCCCCCCTCCTCTAAAGCAATTGGTCGGAGGGAGGAGCTAGGCTGATCAGGGGCGGGAAGTCGGCCGTCAAATTTGGAGCCGTTGTTAATTGGTTCCGAGGGATATTCTTCCCTAAAACCATTGGTTGGTCGTGAAAGTGGGTGAGGAAAGCGGAGGAAGGCATGGAGAGTGGGAGTTGGAGGCGGCACATCTAAAGGGAGACAGACAGCTGCCTTCAAAGCGAGGGGCGGGGGGAGTAGAGCAGAAGTTATCTGCCAATCAAAGCAGCCACGGGCTAAGGAGGAGGAGCTGGGCAAGAAGACCCACCCCTTTCCCTTCTCTGGCCCTGTCATTCATCTCAGTTGGGCCAATAGCGTAGCGAGGGGGCGGCACCTGCGCGTAGGGCGTGCCCTGCCAGGTGTGCTCAGGCCAGGTGCGGGCTCCCGAGCATCCTGCGCGTCCCGCGCGCCCCGCCCAGGTAGGGGCGTGTCTGTCTCCGAGCTGGACCATCTTTCTCCAAGCGCCCCTGCTTGACACATCTCTGAACCTCAGAATTTGCCGAATGGAGGAAGGGGCCAAGCGGAGACAGCGCCTCCCAATCCCTGGCCGCGTGCAGAGCGGAGTGGCTGGGGCGCTCCTGGCGTCGCTCGTTTCCCCGCGGACCCGGGGAGCGCACTCGGCACTCGGCCAGCTGCTCCCTCCGGGCGGGGTGCCGGTGTGAGCCCTGCTCGCTGCGTTTGTTTCTGCTCATTTACTGTCCCTTCCTATCGGCCCAGTTGGGCCCCGTTGGGTCTCAGCTCTCAGCGGGCGCTCCCGAAGGAGCCGAGGAACCGCGGGAGCAGTGACCCGTGCTGGGGGTTGACTGGGCCCCGCGCTTGCACGAACTGGGAGCAGCGGGCCCAGAGCCACACAGTGGAGCCAGATTTGCCCCTGTCCTCCAGATGGGGAGTAAGGCAAATCTAAACCTGAAACAAGCTTAAACACGTACCGAGCCGTCCTGCGCCCTCCCCGTCAGAATCACTTGAGGCAGCCGGGGTGGTCACACCTGTAATCCCAGCACGCAGGAGGCTGCGGGAGGAAAGCCATCGCAGAATGAAAGAAAAAAGTAGGCCGATTCAGGAGCCCCAACACGCTCCCCGGTGTGCTAATGGCCCGTACTTCACACACGGATCCCTGAGGCGGGCCTCTCCAGCGTGGCTGCATAGTAGAATCACCTGGGGAGCTTAAAAAACCAACTCAGCTACTCGGGAGCCGGGACACTGCCTCCCTGCGCCGGGGCGGGAGCCAGGCCTCAGCCACGGTTCCTGCGATGAGGCCAGTGTGCGGCTCACCTAAGAGCCACCTGCGGGTCCTCAAGGCGTGGCCCTCAGTCAGCTGAACATGTCACCTGAGGGGTGTTTGAATTGCAGTTTGAGCCCTACTCTAACAAAACGGGATCCAAATGCGCCCAGTGACCATGTCTGAAGAAACCTTCCAGGTAATTCTGAAGCAGTGAACTGTTGGTGACAGGATCTTGCCATGGAGCCCAGGCTGGCTCCGAACTCCCCACCCTCCTGCCTCAGCCTCTGGAGTGCTGGGAGTACAGGTGTGCACGTCCACGCCTACTTGGAAGCGCTGAGTTTTGAGATTCACTGGGGGGGACCTGGCCACGAGTGAATGATTAAAGATTAAACTGTGGGCAAAAGCGCAGAGGCTGTGTGACGGGTGGATGGCTACAACGCAGGGAAAGGCGCACATTGACAGTGCCAGGCAGAAAGCATGCCGGCTGTGGGAATAAACAAACTGGGGCGGACAGCACGCAGGCTCGAGCAGCGAGGGCTCTGACTGTGGGGCGAAGGCTCACCGGCTGTGAGTGCAAGGACCAAGCAACAAGAAGCTCAGGGGCGTGGAGCCTGTTGTGCGTGGCCGCGTCCTTCCCTCTTCCCCAAGGAGAAGCGCCCAGCCTGAGACAGCCCCTGGCCCAAACCGCCCTCTCCTGCCTTGTTCTTATAGAGATTCTAAGCAGCCAGGGAGCTCTCGGCTCGGGGCCGTTTCTTCACCCGGAGCCTCCCCGGCAGTTTGGGCCAGGAGCTGTCTCAGGCTGGGCGGTGACCATGGAGTCTCCTCCCGTCACCTTGTCACCCTCCATGCCGCCTGAGGCCCACACTTCCAGTCACAGCTCCACACTCCACCCTGCCCGCCCTGGCAGGGGCCAGGTACACTCAGGCCCTGGGGAAGGGGGTTCTGAACAGACTTGGGACAGAGAACGCTCGCCTGGCAAATGAGCGGAAGCAGCGAAGCTGTCAGTTTCCAACACGATCAGACCTACAGGGTCCAGGGTCAGACCAGGCCGTCCTGAGGCCAGGGAGGAACCTGCACTGTGTAGACTCTGGGGTGGGGGGGTGGGCTGCAGGGTCACAGAGCGGTGGTGACAGAGGAAGGGACAGAAAGAGCAAGATCTTGAAGCCAGAACCTGGGAACCCAGAGACAGACCCACGTCTCTGATAAGAAGCCTTGAGCCGGGTGTGGTGGTCCACACCTGTAATCCCAGCACTGGGGAGGCTGAAGCAGGAGGGTCACAAGTTCAAGGATATCTGCTACACAGTGAGTGTGAGGCCAGCCTGAACTACACAGTGAAACCCTGCTTCAAGTGACAAAAAAGCAAGCCTTGACCTCAGAGGTCTAGGGACCAGGGCTCCCCGGGACCCTGGTGAGCCCAGTGGCCACTCTTCATTAAGCTTCCAGGGGAACCGTGGTCCCGTGACACCTCCTGGATGCCCACTTTCCCCAGCCCCATGAGCTGGGCCCATTCCCAAGACAGACCATACGCACACGTGATCCTGTAGCTCTCCTGGTAGGAACCTACACAGCCAGAGGAACTTGCTCCTACCGGGCAGGACGCCCACCTGCCTTCCCATTCCCGGGGCTCCCCCCACTCCCGGGCCCGCGAGTCCCAGCGGGCGCCTCTCCGAGCATCCATCCTCTCCATCCTCCTCGGGCCCTGGGGAGCCTGTGGCTGGCAGGGTGGCAGCGTGGCACGGCCACTGCCAAGGGGACCAGGACCGTCCAGTGGCAGCGACACTACAGAAGGGGCTTGGACTGGAAGGGACAGTCAGTCTGCAGAGCTGGAGGGAGGGTTGGGGCGGCCGGGTCAGGCACTCCGGCTCCCGTGGGTATGGACAAGGGACGCCGGAAAAACCTTGCTGCTGCACTTTTAATTGCGCTCTCTCCACAGGAAGCGTCTCCTCTCCCAGTTAAAATCACACAGCCGTCTGCACGAGGAGCCCGGCTCTGCCTGTGTGGCGTGGACTCGGCCCCAGGAGTCTCCGAAGGCCTCCCGCCCCGGCTGAGGGCCAAGGCGGGCGGCTCTCTCTGCCGAACCCCCGCCCCACCGTCCCTCCGCAGCCGCGGCTTCAGGTGGACGTGATGCCGCTCTTCTCACTCTTCACCTTGAGGAACTCGGCCATACTGGAGAAGTACTTCTGGCTGGCCTCGGCCACCTTCTTCTCAGCCGCCTGTGGGTTCACGATCTCCAGGCCCTGGACGGGAAGAGCGGTGACAGGAAGAGGATGTGAGTGGCCAGGTCCCCGGCCCCTCCTGGTGGCCCCCGGGGCGGCGCACTTGAGGACCCTCACAGTCTCCAAGTCCCTGTTGCCTCCAGAGGCTTGGACCTGGGGGCTGGGGGGAGGGAGAGCGGGTGGCTAGATTCTCAGCAAGTTCCCCAGGGGACGCTAAAGCCACCTCTGAGGAAGCCCCCTCCCTCCCTCAGGCTTCCTAGGGCGAAGCTGAGGCCAGAGGGAGTCGGACAGCCTAAAGTTCTAGCACAAACTGTAACTCCACGGACCGTGAATTCTTTCTTCCTTTCTTCAGTACTAGGGATTGAACCCAGGGCAGTGAGCTCCATCCCCAGCCCTTGTTACTTGTTGATACGGGGTCTCACTAAGTTGCCCAGGCCAAGCGGGAACGTGCAGTCCGAGAGCGCCAGGATGTGAGAAGGGTACCACCTCAGCCAGACCGTTTTCAGCCTGGTAGTTCTTATCTCCCTGCTGCGACCCCCATCTCCGTTTCCCCTGACACCCGCCGCCTTCTAATCCGCAGCGTCCCCCGCGCCGCGACCTCCCCGGGAGCCAGGCTCGTCTTCGCGGCTGTCGCTTTCTTCCCAGCCCAGGACAGCGCCGGGGGCCCCGTGGCTCCACAGGGTGGGCTCACCAACCCGAGGAGGAGACAGGCTGGCCTCCTGCGGCGCACTCAGGCACAGGCGCCACAGGCACCCGGCTCCACGCTGCCCGTCGCTGCAGGCTGGGACGTGAGCTAGGGAAGGCACCCACGCCCGCCTGGCAGTGAACGCGATCGCAGTGCAGCTGTGACGTCACCCCCATTCTGAGTGCGGTGACCAGAGGCTCAGAGCTGGCTCCCTGCACATGGCCCCAGACCCGACTCCAAAGGCACAGCGCCTGGAGCTGCCCGAGCCTTGAGTCTCCATCGGCCGGCCTCCGCCAGCCTCACTGGCTCTGCCAGGGCACTTGGGGCTGGGGCCGGGCGAGCCTGGGGCAGGCTCCCCGCCGCCTGGGGCTGGGTACCTGGAGTGGGGTGAAGGCCACACTGGAGGCAGTCCCCGAGGAGCGGTCTCGGATGGTGGACTTCCCGCCGTATACCACGCTCTGCTTCTGCAGGGTGCGCTGCGGGAGGGAGGGGCCGTGATGCAGTT